GTTGGTTCGTCTGCTTACAAGTAAACTCACAAGTTGACTTCAAGTTGCAGCGGCGGCGGCGATTTCTTGCTTCGCCGAAGCGAAGGCGTCCTGGATCGCGGAGAATCCTCGGGGCTCCGGAGGAGTTCTCGCCTACATCGTCCATATAGGACGACTCGGGAACTCAACTCCTACCCCGGGCAGCTCACCGATCCCCTTAAGCCCAGGGGAAAGGTATCAAGCCATTTGACAGCAGATGCTGGCTGTCAAACCGGCTTTTACGCAAAACAGGCGGGAGGCAGCAAACAGCTGCGACCAGCGAAATCGCCTGCCACCGGAAGTCCATCTACGTACGTGTTTTTATATACCTATATTATATAGATGTCACACCTGTGACAGGTAAAAACATGCTTTTTTGAAAAACGGTGCCATCTGTTGGACGTAAAAGCAACACACGCTACGATTTTACCATTCCATTTCAATGTTTCCGATTTACGATCGATTTACGATTTCCAAATTTCCAATTTTACGATTCCATTTCAATGTTTCTGATTGCATTGTTAAATTGAATTTTCATAGATTTTGATTTATTTTCATTTTGATTTAATTATTTCGTGTGACATTGCATTGGAATTGATGCACAGACAATGGAACAACAAAAAATATTGTATACCCACAAGCATTGTGAAATTAAACATATTAGAAACGTACGCTTTCTCTTTTCTTTCTTTTCCATTTAACCAGACTGAGCCACAGCAACGCGTGGCCGGGTACAGCTAGTTACACATAAAAATGTAATACTTAATTTGCCACACTGATTTTACAATAAATAATTTGGATTTTTTGTTGTCTAGCTCAGGGGTAGGCAACCTTGGCTCTTTTATGACTCGTGGACTTCAACTCCCAGAATTCCTGAGTCACCATGGCTCAGCTTGGAAACCTCTCCCTTTCCCTTCAGCATGGCTGGCTCAGGAATTCTGGGAGTTGAAGTCCACGACTCATAAAAGAGCCAAGGTTGCCTACCCGATCCAGCTAGATGTATGTATAAAAAAGCAGCCTGGCAACCAAATGTGAGTTAGTCCGCTCTATTTGTCCTCCTGTGGTTGTGAAAGCTGGACCTTGAAAAAGCAAGAGAGGAAGAAAATTGACTCGTCTAAGCTGTGGTACTGGAGAAGGCTCCTGCATGTTCCTTGGACAGCAAAGGTGACTAACAAGCAAGTACTGGAGTACATAATGCCAGATGTCACTGGGAGGCAAAATCAGAAAACAGTGTTTCACTTATTTTGGCCCTGTCATTGGGGGAATTTACTAGGAAAGCAATTAAGTTTGAAAGAGTTAGCGGTAAAAGGAAACCAGGCCACCAAAGAACATGGTGGCTGGACACCATCAAAGCTGAGCCAGAGCACAGAACCAGCCAGAGCACAGAACCAAACAAAGAAGTAATGCAAGATCGGAAGCTGTGGAAAAACCTGGCCATAGAATCACCAAGAGTCGGACACAACTGAATGGATAACACCATCATCATCTGTATGTATGTACACTATTTATTTACATACTGGAGTTTTTAAATACAACAAACCTAGACCTCTATATATGCCTAGATATGTGTGTATTAATGGCTCGATATGTGTGTATTAATGGCTCGATCAATTGTGCCTCTGTGACAAAGTCCCAACTTGTTTTAAATCTGATGATAATTCTTAATAATACCCTTCCTAATTTTCATAGAAATGGTGGAAGCTTGTGGCATGTGGCTTAAATATTAGAAGGCTAAGAAAGGACATTCCCTCAATGTTACTCTTTTCTCTTAAAATAATAGATTGAAGAATTTTTTCCTTGCGTACTAACTTCAGCTTATTTATAAAATTTAAATAAGATACATTTTATTTTTGATTTTTATACAATAGTTGAAGGCTAGAAACTGGGAGGCCACGAATTCTAGTCCTGCCTTGGACACGAAGCCATGGGTGACTTTGGGCTAGTCACTCTCTCTCGGCCATAGGAAGAAAGCAACGGTAAACCACTTCCAAATATGTTGCCAAGGAAACTGCAGGGAGTCTCGTAGTGGCCAATAGTGACTTGAAAGCCCCAAACCAAAATTGATTTATTAAAAGATAATATTTTAATAATATTTCTCACCTTTAAGGACATTAAACTTTCAAATCTGGACACTTCAGTAATATAATTATGAACTCTAACTTTCAGTTCTTCTTTTTCACGTAAAGTTACTTCCAATTCAGTCGAGATTACCTGTTTATATTACAAACTGTTAGGCATATTATTCACAAAGTAAATAAACCACACGCTGACCAAGCAGTAAATATGATCTATTCCATATCAAAATTGAACAACAGAGAGGCAGCTTGTAACAGCATTTCTCTTGGTTATTAGTTTCTCATATTCAAATTAAAAGAACAAAAAAAATAATCAGCATTCAGTCTTGTGACTTCCAACCTATGGGTAAGTAATTTTCCTTATGGAAAATTTGAGACAATGCCTATTTTGGCATTGATACTTGGCATTGCCAGTGCTCATATTGGTATTAACACTTGAACTTTAAAAAAGTTAACTGATACCTAATTAAACATTTCAAGTGATATCATTATTCAATGTTTATACTAGTCAACATTAAACTAGAACAGTTACCACACTAGAAAAAAACACATAAATTGAATATACATTCAAGCAGGCCGTTACAGAAATTTTTCTGGAAAAATTGTGAAATATGTAGCCATGAGGGATTTATCTTTATCAGTAAATACAGAGAAGAATAACTATGAGTCTCTGATGTTTTAACCATGATAGGAGAAAATATTGTCATTCAGAATTAACAGTTGAAAGCATTGGGAAAAAAATAATTGGAAAGGACAATATATTGTCAGTAAACCCAGTCTAGCTATCACAGTTAGCTAAACTAGAAATACATGTTCAAGTTGGAATGCTAGAAAAAGAGTGGTTGGAAGCAAAAGGGTAGGAAGGAACAAGAATTCACTACAGCAGGGGTCCCCAACCTTGGCCACTTTATGACTTGTGGACTCCAACTCCCAGAATTCCTCAACCAGCCATGTGTACTATATGAATTACTTTATACCTGGTTTTCTCTAGTCATTGTGGCTAGATCATCCTGTAATCTTCTGTTTTCCTTCAAAGCCATTTCTTTTATTCTGCCAGTTTCTCCAAGCTCTGAGTGTATTGCATCAAACTGGCGGTGGAGACTGGCAAGTTCACGGTCTTTCCCATTTAAGGCATCCTTTAATTGGCTAATAAATGAGGGATTTAGAAAATCTTAAAACATAATTTATCTTTTTTGCAATACTGTATGTACACTATGGTCACAATTTAAAAAGTATAGCAATTAATTAAAACATACCTTTGTACTGAATAGTTCGAAAGATATTTTACATGTTACCAAGTACAGAGCTATTTTTGGAACTGAACATGTATCCGTCATGTTTCTGTAGAAAAACTAAATTACCAAGCATTTGGGAAATTATACCTGAATTTCTTGCACTATGGCACAAATGGCAGCATTGGTAGAAGACAAATATGATGCTAAGCTTTAATTAGCTTTAATCTAGTTTGTAGAATAAGCTAAATCTGGTTCATAGCCAAGAAAACCATAGCGTAGTTCCCTATTAAAATTAGCTATTGTTGCTTCTAGCTACCCTACCCTAGAGATTGTGAAGCACTTTCTAAAGTGCAGAGTGGCAATGTATATTCCCTGCAGCCAAACAGTAGTATAAGGGGCAAGTAGCAAGAGAGATTTTGAGATTTTTTTGACAAGAGGGAAATTAACACTCTCAAATATGCCTCCCATGCCTTGCATTCTTTTTAAAACTTTTAATCGTCATTTGAAAAAGTCCTTTCTGCTATATATGTTCTTTCAGTAAAGACCTAGAACAAGATGGATTGACGACCTCAGCCAAGTATGGCTTGCCCAATTGGCAAAAGAAAGCTCGGGATCGTATTGGTTGGAAACATGCGGAAGAGGCGTTCATCCTGCAGTGGATAAAATGATGATGGTGGTGATGATGATGATGAGGGGAAGAACAAAGAGCACTGTGCCCCAGCCCTCTGTTTATTTTTATATACAATAAGTTCAGTAATTAGATACTAAAAAAGAAGTTATTACCAATTTAGCAGAATTAGAAAACAAGTTCAGAAGACCTAGAAAACAACTTTACAGTGAAATGTTATATCTTCAGTGAGATTAAAGTGAATGGTTATAAAAGTGGTTTGAATAAAGAAAGCATAGTTATTTTAGAAGGTAACCAGCCATTTAAACAAAAGCTATAATATACAGTAAAGTATTCTGCACATCCATCATCTTATGCTAAATAAGCATTTCATTTAATAGCTTCCCTGATATATAACACAATTATCTAAAATAAAATTAGCTAAACTACAAAATTCCAGTTTTTTTCTTTCTTCTATTTTACCTCATGAAGTATGCAGTGGCTCAGTTAGTTTTAGAATCTCATTAAAATTACCCCTGACCATTTTAAAATGAGTTTCAGAATAACCAAGTTATAATTTTATTACTTACTCTAAAGACAATTCCAACTGAGCAACTGTTTTTTGTAAGTTGAGGATAGTCTTTTCCTGTTCAAAGAGAGAGAGTTATGCATGTTATGTATTTTCTTTTCCTGTAATTTTAAATCTAACATAGGGTTAGATTTAATTTGACAAACTATCCTTTCTCTATCCTAACCAAATATTTCTTTCAAAACTCCTGCAACAAGCACACAACACTAATATGCATGACATTATATAGACATATCAATACAACTTT